CATTAGCTCGATATTGTCATCAGTTTACAGTACTTTACCGATGATAATACCGATTGCCCAGGCTTTACCACGAGGAGGTTGCTGCGAGTGGAGGCCCAAGGCAGGTAGATGGAATCACAAGTTCTACATCTACCCACCTTTCACAATAAACCTTATAAATAACTTAAATCTTAACTATGTAATACTATCGGTACTAAAATCCCTCGGCGGATGACTTCTTTCTTGAGCCTAAACCTATAAAAAACTAAGTTCCCTCGTCGGTTGTCTTCGTTCTTCAGCTTAGAACTAATATTATCTTAATATTCTAATTAATACGAATTAATGCTATTAATACAAAATAACTTAAACTAAACGCAACGTAGTCGCTAATACTCAAACGAAAGAGATAGACGGAATGGAAAAAGTTCCATCGATCATTTCGTTTACGCACCTAATATTCTATATACCAAGCAGTTATTAAGTCTACGATGAACCACGTTAAACTACAGTATGAAAAAGTATCGCGATGCAAGTGTTATCGCCAGAACCTGGTTTAAGAAAATAGGAAAGACGGGCGACACCTCGCTAACCCGGATCCATCTTTTACTGCCATGGAGCTTTGGGCTGGTCACCTGCGTACCAGACCTGAACCAAAGGAGTACACAAGCATGGTAGTGCAAGCGAGATTCTCTGTTTACGGAGCAGACTCCCGTCTACTCCGTACCCTTGCACGCACGAGTCTTTCTCCAAATCCTACTTACCAGGCAAAGACTAAACACGTCCGATATCTGGCTTCTCAATAAAAACCAGAGGGATCGGCAAACAGTCTTAGTGTACAGACCCACTGCCCATACCCCAAGTCTGTGTAGAGAATGAACGAGCAAAATGAATTAATAATAACTTGGTATGCACAATGGATGGTCACAATTTAAGTCGATTAATAGACAGACTAAAATTAATAATAATAATTATCATTACGATGTGATGATGAATATGAATATAACAATGAATATCGAATTATGATTTAAGATTAACTTACAGTAACTTAACGCAGTGGTAGACGCTTTGAGGATGTAGACGTTGATCGATGTCTTCTTTCGATGGAATAACTGATTGGAAAAATATTTTTCATTATACAATACGCATAGAATACATAATATGCACACTAAATAAATCACAGAATAGAAATCACAGTAAATGAATCACAGTACATAAGAAGATAAATATCAAAGCCAATGGTTCTCGAACATCTGTAACATACAAGGGATTAGTAACAAGAGAGGGGACATAACAATATGCACAGTAAATAGATTAATAATATGCACAGTAAATAAATTAATAATATGCACAGTAAATAAATTAACAATATGCACAGTAAATAACAGGTTCCTTTATACGGTGGTTATCGAATGCCTGCAACACACAATGGGTTACTAACAAGAGAAAGGACGAGCATGAGACACGCGCCCACCCTCCGTGACGGCTTACGAGAAAGTGAGGAAGCTAACGCCGTTATGTATTGGGCGTACGTAGGTTATTACGCAAAAGCTAGTTTCTTTGTTACGTTTGTTCGAATTGAATTGTTTTTGGCAGCTTGAATGACCTTACTCCTTGAACGACCCAAACACAGCCCCAAACGAGCCGGGACGGCCGGCGACGGGCCGACACCCCTGGCGCGTCAAGCTTGCGTGACGGGGGGGCGGCGGCGTCGGCGCCGCGCCGGCGCGCTGCTGCTTTGACTGCTCCGCCTGCTCGCTCGCTGTCGCGGACGGCCGTCGCTGATGGTGGCGGTCGTGCTGCGGGCGCGGACGGCGGAGCGGCGAAGAATAAGAAAAAGAAGAGGAGGAAGAAGAAGAAACCGTCGGCGCCGGCCGTGGCGGGGCCGCCTGCGAGGTCGCAGCCGGAGACGGCAGCTGCGGCGCAGTGGCGGAACGAACCCGCCGGTGGCGTGCCGCCTGGTCGTGGCCACGCGGATAAGTGGTCTGAGGTGGTGGGCCGCCGGGAGCGCCGGAGAGACGCCGCGGCTGCTACTGCGCCAGTGCCGCCCAAGGCGGCGGGCGCAGCCCCCCGGCGGCCGACGCCCTCAGGAAAGCGCGGGCGGGGGCCGTCGCCCCCCACGCGTGCCGACGCGGGCAGCGGTCGCTTTTACCGTGGCCCTGGGCAGCCAGACAGCGTATTCTGACGTCATGCGTCGGGCTGTGGCCGGGGTCCAACTGGCGGAGGTCGGGATTACCGACCTCCGCTACCGGAAGGGTCAGACGGGGTCCTCCATTCTGGAGGTCCCCGGACGGAAAAGCGCTGCGAAGGCTGACGCCCTCGCGGCCCGCCTAGCCGAGGTCTTTCGCGGCACCGACGTCCGCGTCTCGAGGCCGGCGAAGACCGCGGAAATGCGGTTAGCCGGCCTCAACGAGTCGGTGACCGCGGAGGCCGTGGCGGCGGCGGTCGCCCGTGTCGGCGGCTGCGCGGCTGCCGAGGTCCGTTCCGGCGAGATCCTCCGAAACGCGTCCGGCCTTGGCACCGCGTGGGTGCGCTGCCCCCTCGCGGCCGCGGGGCGGCTGACGACAGCCGGCCGCATCCTGGTCGGCTGGTCGTCGGCCAGGGTGGAGGCGCTCCCGGCCCGGCCCCTCAGGTGCTACCGCTGCCTGGAAGAGGGGCACGTCCGCCAAAAGTGTCCGCGTGATGCGGACCGTGGCGGACGGTGCTACGGCTGCGGCGGCGAGGGGCATATGGTCCGGGACTGCACGGCGGCCCACAAATGACCGGTCGGCGCCGACCTGGGTCGGCTGGCGGACCACAGGCTGGGCAGCAAGGACTGCGCGCCTCCGCCGTCCCGGCGGGACCGAGGGGGGCGTGGCGCGGCGGCGGGGAGTGAGCCGGCCGACTAGCTCGGCTGGCGACCCGTCTCCGACGCCGTTGGCGTCGGCGGCGGAGGTGGGAGGATCCGGCCGAGGGGAGGCCATGGTTACGGACTAACCTTCTCCCCTATGTTCCGGATCCTCCAGGCCAACCTCAACCACGCGGCACGGGCGCAGGACTTGTTTGTCCATAGCCTGGCAGAGTTGGGGCTTGGCCTGGCCGTCGCCGCCGAGCCGTACCGCGTCCTTGACCGCCTCGATTGGGCAGGGGACGCGCTGAGCTCCGTGGCGGTGGTCGGCGTCGGGGCCGCGCCCCTGATCGTTTTGACGCGCGGGTGCGGCTTCGTCGCGGCGCTGTATAGGCGCCTCGCGGTGGTCGGGGTGTATGCCCTTCCGAGCATGCACCTCGCGGCATTTGAGATGCTGTTGGACGGGATCCGGGATCTTGTGTCCCGTGATCCGACTCGTCCAACATTGGTCCTGGGGAACTTCAATGCGAAGTCTACCCTCTGGGGGGGCCCCAGGACCGACGCGAGGGGCGATGCCGTGGAGGAATGGGCGGCGAGCGCGGACCTTCGGCTGCTCAACCCAGGGTCTGCGAGCACGTGCGTGCGGTGGCAGGGAGAGTCAATCGTTGACTTCTCATGGGCTACGCCCGCCGCCGTGCGTCTCGTGTCGGGGTGGAGGGTGGCGGAGGAGGTGGTGACACTTAGTGACCACCTTCACATTATTTTTGATGTTTCCGCCGCCCCTCAAAACCACCCCGCTCTCCGCCCGGACGCTGGCCGGCCGCCGCGTAGATGGGCTCTCTAGCGCCTGGAGGAGGACGCGCTGATAGCAGCGGCCCTCGCCGTGTCCTGGCCGGAGGCTCCGGCCGGACCGGTCGCGGACGTCGACAGGGAGGCTGAATGGTTCCGGGAGGCAATGGCGGCTGCGTGTGACGCAGCCATGCCCCGGGTCAGGAAGCCCTCTAGGCGGGCCTCGCATTGGTAGAGCGACGAGATCGCTGCGCTGCGTGACGTGTGTCACCGCTTCATCAGGGCCCGCCGGCGACGGAACCGCGACTTTGCGAGGGAGCACGAGCTCTACGGGGTCTACCGACGAGCGATGGTGGACCTCCAGAGCGCCATCGGGGAGGCCAAATCCCGTGCCTGGGGTGAGCTCCTCGAGACGTTGGACCGTGACCCGTGGGGGCGTCCGTATCGCATCGTCCT